ATTTCTCCCAACAGTCTGACCTGGTGGCACCAGGATTTGTAATGAGGTATAAACTGGTACCAACTTGGGTATAAACAAGGTATAAACTTGCAGGATGTGGTGGTGACCAGGAGAAGGAGCAGGGGCTGAAACCTGCCTCCCTGTCAGATGGCAGCAAAGTGGGGTGAGGAGGAGCTCAAAGGCTTTTTGCCTTCACAAATGTCTTCTGGTGATTAGTTTTGTGGTTTGTTTATTTTTTCCTAAATCACCCAGTACCCACAAATGATGTAAAAAAAAACCCCAACACCACGATGGGTAAAGTTCAAAGGCAGGAACAAGATGAGTGGTGGGGTGAGGAGCAAGAGGACACAGCACCAAACCTGGCAGGGAATCCACCCTTCTCCAGCTTCAAGCCATCACCCCTTGTCCTGCCATTCCATGCCCTTGGGAACAGCTCCTCCCCAGCCTTCTTGCAGGCTCCTTGCAGGTATTGGAAGGTCACAACAAGGTCCCCCTGAAGTCTCCCATGTCCTGAGGTGCCCTGCCCAGCTCAGCAGGAGGGCTGTGCATGGCAGGGACACAGTGGTGTGGCCCTGCTGGTGAAGTTCTGGGTAAATATCACTCTCTGTGCTGCCAAAAGGGAAGGAGGAGGCTGAGGCTGCTGCTGTGAGACCTCCCAGGCCCTCAGAATTTGGGGGGATGGTGGTGGGGAGGGCAGAGGGTTGTGTGCACAGTTGCCACCCAGCATGGGGACACTGGTTTGGGAGCACCAATGGTCCAGAAACCAACCCCACCTGATGTGGAGGAGCCTAACGTGGGGCTCCTGAGCTGCCCTACCAGCCTCTGCTCCTCACCTGGGCTTTGGGAATGTTGTGGTGGTTTTTTCCCCTTCCCTCAACCTGGTGAATCACCAAGAGGTGCTGAAAGGGCAGAACCTTTTTGTGCTGCCTCCCCCTGCCACCCTGCCCAGCACATTCTGGGTCAGAATCCCATCTCCTGGGGAAGCAGCCCCAGGTCCCACACGTTCCAAGTGTGAGGAACTGCTCCTCTGTGCAAGCTGGGAGCAGATTCCCAGCCCCTGCCCCTCCCCAACACCCTCTGCTTGGATTTTTTTTCCCCCCTCCCAGCCTGCTCTGAAAGAGAAAGCAGGTTTGGAGACCCAGCCCCAGGATCTGCTCCAGCCTTGGGCTCCTCACCTGGTGCAACAGTCCTTCTGTGTTCCCATGGCAACAGGAGGAGTTAATTTAATGATATGTTTTGGGTCTCATTTGTATGGCTGCACACACACCTGCACGCTGGGAACACACACACACACACACAGAGAGAGGGAAATGAGCAAGTCCTGCTCCCCAAGGAGCTGCCCATGAGCAGTCAGTCCTGTCCCTGAGGTTCACACCCCCCCAAGGTCCCAGCTGTCCCTCCACAAGAGGTGACCAAGCCCCCCAAGCTGTGCAGCCCTTCAGGCCTGAGCTCCCCAGGCTCTGTGGGAGGATGCTCAGAGCATCACCCTGCCTCAGCTGCTTCATGCCATGGGCTGGTGGCTCTTGGACAACCTTTGTGTCATCAAGCATGAGTCAGAGATTCCCACCAGCCCTCCAGCACTCTCTGCTCACTGCCCTCCTGCTGTTGGCAGGATGTCCAGTGGCTGAACAAGCCTCAGGTAGAGCCTGGCTGCTTTTGTTTGCATCTTCAGACACTGGTGCTGAGCACTCCAAGGTCACCAAGAGCTCCTCACTGGTGCCAGGGACACCAGCACTCACTCCCAGGTACCAACCTCTGAGCAAATGGTTCAGTAACTTTGGTGTCTTCACTTCAGCTGCTCAGAAAAACCTCCCTGTGAATTCCTAGTGAGACTCAGGTGATATAAAAAACCAGCTGTTCTTTAAGAGCTCTCAAAAAATGATGCTCCCCTCTGTTTTTAACACTGGAAGTGCTGGTGTTTGTTGCCTAAGAGCATCCACATCTTCACTGCAAAATGTCCAGCAGGTCAGAGTTCCTCTCTGGCTAAAAACATGTTGTAGATCATCAAGACCAGTCACCCTTCTGGAGCAGTCTGCCCTCTCAAGGTGAAAAAGCTTCACCTCTGCTGACTGATCTGAAAGAATCCCAGGGCAGTTTCAGAGCTGAGCCCCCTGCAGCCCCAGCCCTGAGCCATGCCCAGCTGCTGCCCTGCTCTGGGCCTGGCCAAGCCTTCAGGTTTGGCTTGGAGAAGATCTGAAGCATCCCTTCATCCCAAGCAAGGAGCAGTGACCTCCTTGTTGCTGGTTTTGAGCTCCTGAGCAGTGCCAAACCCAAGCACAAGGTGGTTTTTTTTCCCTGTGTGTGCAGCACTGAGAGGCCTCCCATGGTGTGTTCTTCATTAGTTACCTCACATGGCTTTGGAGACAACACCCAGAGCTAAACCACCTGTTTTTTTAACCCAGTAAGTGGTCTAATCCCTCTAGCAATGAGGACACACACCTCTAGTGTGTATCTGAACAGAATCAGGGCTGCTGCTCCAATGATGCTTGCACAGGTTGCATGAGATAAACCACCCAAAGTCACTTTTACTCCTCCGTGCAGGAGCAGGGACCTTGAAATCATCCTGGAAGTGAAGAGCTGGGAGGAAAACACAGTTGCTGAGCAAGGGGGGAGGCACATGAAGCAGAGGTGACTGGCCCAGGAAAGCCAGTTTCCCCCCCACCTTGACCTCAGCAGCCTCCTGCAGATGGACAAGTGGCCAAGGTTAGTGGAGGTTTTATTTTGGTGTGTTGACAGCAGGACTCAGTGATCTCCAGAGGTCCTTTCCAACCCTGCTGACTCTGTGTGACAACCAGTGCCAGAAGTGCTCCCACACCCCAGGACCTCATCCTGCCCACACATTCCTCTTGTAGGTCCCAGAGGAGAGGAAGGACCAGTGGGGGCTTCTGGCTCTGGGGGTTTCTCCCCCACCACCCTCACCATGGTGGGGGGACCTGTGCTGGGCTGGCACTGGGGTTTGTTTCAAGGAATGAGCTGGAATTCCTGCACAGGGGTGACCTGACCTTCATCCAGGCAGCAAAGGCAGCAGCTCTGGGCAGGGCAGGGGCAGGGAGATGATAGAAATCACAGCTGTGGAAAGACATGCAGTGAGGTGGGGGTGGCAGGAGAAGGTGGGGAGGGTGTTGGAAGGGGCAGATGCTCTTTGCAAAGCTCTGGCTGGGTGGCTGGGACCTGGCACAAATGAGCCTGGGGCTTCACCTGCAAGAGCTGGTCTCCTGCAGAGCAGGGGGAACAGGTCTTGCCCAGGTGGCAGCTGGTTTGTGCATGGAGGGATCTGCCTCTGGAGCCCCATGGCACTCAGCAGCCATGGCAACCACTCCAGCAACCACTGGCACCAGGAGGGGCCTGCAATGAAAGGGGCTTCACTGAGGGACGGGGCATTTCAGTGGGCAAGAGGTGCCCTGGGGGGGCTGCAGCCCTGGGGAAAGGGCAGCACCAGCCCCCCTGCAGCACTGAGCTGCCCTCCAGGGCTCCCACCCTCTGCAAGGCTCCCATGGGCCACCCAGCCCCACAGACCCCACAGACCCCACAGACCCACAGATCCCACAGATCCCACAGACCCCACAGACCCACAGATCCCACAGATCCCACAGACCCCACAGATCCCACAGACCCCACAGACCCCACAGACCCCACCTCAGCTGCTCGTGAAGCTCTGCAGAAAAAGCAAGGTGGGGCAGCTCTGCAGGTCAACACATCCAGGGTATTTCTGGCCATGTGGGAAGGAAGGAGAGATGTGGGATGGATTTGGACATCCAAGGGACTTCAGGAAACAACTCCCTGCCCTGCCAGTAGGACCCCACCTGGAGAGCTGTGTCCAGCTCTGGAGCCCCCAACACAGGAAGGACATGGAGCTGCTGGAGAGAGTCCAGAGGAGGCCACAGAGATGATCCTTGGGCTGGAGCAGCTCTGCTCTGGAGCCAGGCTGGGAGAGTTGGGGGGTACAGCCTGGAGAAGAGAAGGCTCCAGGGAGCAGGGAGTCAAGATGCTGAGACAGAAAAGCAGGAACCATCTTCATCAAAGCAGCCAATATTAATTTGCCTCTATTTTGGTCACTTTCTCAACCTATTGTTATTGCTTTTGTCCTGCCTAAATGGAGAGTTCATACTTGGAATTCATCCATGCTCCAAAAATATCCAGATATAGAGAGAAAGGCACTGGATGAGTCACCAAAAATCCAAGCTGAAGAATTTAAGAATGCATTTTAATTATGTTTACCAATAATTTAATGCTACCTACAATGCCTTTCATTACACAGTCATTTATTTTTAGCATCAAAATTGCACCACAATATACTTTTCTTGATTTTGGAGTACTTGACTATTAGCATATTCGGGATGCAAAATGAGACCCCATTGCAACCATCCTGATATAGGATGGGTTGGGTTGGAAGGGACCTTCAAGACCATCCAGTCCCAACCCCCTGCATGGGCAGGGACACCTCCCACCAGCCCAGGTTGCTCAGAGCCCCATCCAACCTGCCCTTCAACACTGCCAGGGATGGGGCAGCCACAGCTTCCCTGGGCAACCTGGGCCAGGCTCTCACCACCCTCACACTCCACAATTTCCTCCTCATGTCTCACCTCAATCTCCCCTCCTCCAGTTTTCATCCATTCCCCCTATGCTTATGATATTATTATAATTTCCCACATTAATTTGGATCTTGGAAGATCATAGATGAGAGACCTGAAAACCTCAAACAATTTCTTTGAAGAGTCATGGGGAAGGACATGCAGGACTGAGGAGGTCAGAGCCCTGAAATCAACTTGGCTCCTCAGGCTGCTGAACACCAGGCAGTGCAGAGGGAAAAGGCAAAGCTGCTGAGTGTGGAAAAAGCTCTTTGCAGGTCACTTGTAACAAACCAGCTCTGGTCGTGCCTGTTTCCATAGATCTCCTTTTGAACCTGGTGCCTTAGCAAATAACCAGCTCGTATCAAATGTGCCTGTCAAGCCTTCATGCTGGAACATGCAGAGCTGACAGGGGTGAACAGAGACACTTACCCTGAGGTTCATATTCCCAGGCCTGTGGGAATAAAAAACTCGACATGCAGCAATAGGGCAGCTGTGTTCAAAAGATGCTGAGTAAACTTAGGAGATGCTGATTCTGGTCATCTGTTCCCCTCTATTAAACTGCTGCCAGACCATAAGTGACCCCCTGCCCCAGCAGTGCTGGCAGCCCCTGCCCTGGGGGCCCTGCAGGGCTGCCCTGTTCCCAGGGATGCTGCTGCACCCCCTGCTCAGCAAGATGCTCCTGGTGCTTCAAGCTGCTGTGCATTGCACTGAGCACCTCTGAGGTCTGCACGTGGCAGCTCTCTTGTCTCTTCACCTTAGAAACCACCTCCAGAAACAGGTGTGGTGGGCAGGGAGCCCCCCCCAGCCCCTGTCAGACACACCTGCTGTGGCCTGGTCGCTTCTTCTGGTGGCCAAAGAGTCCAGTTCCTTCCTTCCATCTCAACAAGAGATAGAGATATCTCAACAAGAGCTTGGCCTGCTCTTCAGACCCGTAGTCTAGATCTGCAGGGGCTTCTCTGTAGTCACCCTGAAGTCAGTTTCCATCAGCAAAGCTCCTCACCCCCCCCTGGGAAGGAGCCATGGGTGGCTGTTCTTCTTGGAGTCATGACCACGGGGCAGCCTCCTCCACTGGGATCAGCCTCACTGCTAGGGGACAAGGTGGCCTGAGGGCCACAAAGGCAATAAAGCCACCCTTCAAGGTGTCTCCATTGCCTGGGGGTTGCCTTGGGTTGGTGGTCTCCCACCCTTTGTGCTTTGTTAAGTGCTGGGGGCTGAGGGAGCAGCTGGATCCTCCCCTCCCTGCCCCAGGCAGGCTGCCCTGGGTCCCCCCAGCCAACTGCTCCAGCACAGGCTTGTTTGGGAGCCTTGAGGCAGCACCACTGGCAGAAAGTCCCCATTGCAGAGCCCTCAGGGTCCTCATTGAGGCCAAATCACACACGGGAGACCTTCGAACGACGGGTTTTTTTAGTTCCTGTTGCAAGAATTTCCCAGATGAACAAACACAACTGCCCACGGGGCTCCTCTCCAAGGAGCAGAGCTTGGGGAAGCAATGCAGCTCCTCCAGCCTGGGTTACAATTCCATCCATGTGCTAAAACCCACCATATTACATTGGGTTGTAGCACATTATGACAAAACGTGTATTTTGCACTGTACGTGCACATCATCTGCTCCAGGGCATCCTGCTCTGCCAGGGGTTGGACTAGGTGATCTCCAGAGCTCCCTGCCAACCCCACCACCCTGTGAGTCTGGGATTATTCATGTAAAGGGTGGACCTTGTGCTCCTTACAGCAGCCTGTGACACGTATGGAGGGACAGCACGAAGAGCACAGCAGCTCCAAGGCTCTTCCTGGCCTGCCAGGAATAATTTCAGCCCAAGCAGTGAAGTTCAGCAAAGGTGTTGCAACCCAACCCAGGATTCTGGCAATGGTCAGGGCAGCCTGAAGCCAGAGGAAGGTCTCCTCTCCTTGGTGACAAGTGATCAGGTTAGAGGAAACGGCCTCAAGTTGCACCAGGGGAGGTTTGGATTGGGTAGTAGAAGAAACTTCCTCACTGAAAGAGTTGTCAGACATGGGAACAGCTGCCCAGGGAGGTGGTGGAGTCCCCATCCCTGGAGGGGTTTGAAAGCCACGTGGATGTGGTGCCTGGGGACATGGTCCAGCAGCAGACTTAGTGGAGTGGGGTTCATGGTTGGACTCGATGATCTTAAAGGTCTTTTCCAACCAGAAGGATTCAGTGAGTCCAGGCATGTCAGTGCCACCCGAGCTGCTGCTGAGAGAGCAGCTGGGAGCACAAGCCCAGCCTGAGCTGGGAGTGTCTGGGAGTGCCTGGGAGATGTGCAGGGCTCCTGGGGCAGGTTGCAGAGGGGCAGGGGCTGTGTGTGCTCTGGCCATTGCCTTGCCCGTGTGCACCACGGCTGGTGGACAATGTGCCACAGGATTCTGCAGGGTGAACACTCTGAGCCAGGCACATTTGCAGCCCCAAGGAAGTGAAAAGTCAGCCCAACCACTCACAACTCAAACCAAATGCAATCACTGCTTTCCTATTGAGTAACCTCAAAAATAAATGTCATTTCTAACATTAACTCGTGATGATTCATCCTTAACCTGGGCTGTTTCATCCTGGGTTTTACTGACATTTTCCACAACGGCCTTTGGTTGTGGCCAGGTCACTGATACCTTTATTCCTTGAAACTGTTTATTAAACTATTGACCAGACTCTATCTTCTCTGTGATTCTGGAGTCCCTAGAAGGCCATTTATCTAAGCAGACTTGGCCTTCAGTGGTAATGGAACTAACTCCAGCTCAGAAAAATACACTCCCTCTTCTCCTGAGGCTGAAGATTTTCTTCTCAGATCAATGTCTGGTTGATTGAACTCTCTGCTCTGACAGCAAGTTGGGTTCCTAATTGCTTAAGCAGAAAGTTGTTTCCTTCATGCCTGGAAAGACTGAGCCTCAACTCATTGGACTCAAAAAATCCAGCCTTGCTCTGGTGTTGCAGCTGATGGGTGGGTGGGAAGGAATGGGGAATTTCTCTTGCAAACCCATCCAGGAGTCTCCATCAATCTGAAAAACATGAGCCAGCAGCAATGGCCACATAACCCTGACCCACCTGTCAGGGAGAGACCCCAGGTGCTGGTGGGGTGGGATGGCAGAGGAGAGGTGTGCACGGCTGTTGTGTGTCACCCTGGGGTCTTCACTCCTTCCAGTGGATTTCAACAAATGGAAAGGAAATTGGGAGGCTGGAGCAGGAGTCCCTTGGCCTGTGTACACCACACAGCTCCTGGTGCTGGCAGGTCCCTGAGCAGCAACCCAGGGCATGCAGGGGGCAGCCTCCTGGTACCCACATGAACCAGCTCCCCACCAAAGTGTCCTTCAGGCAGGGGGCAGGGAGCTGGGCTTTCTGGGTCCCCAGAAACCCTGCAAGATCCTGCT